CTCTGTTGGCCCCCAAATTTTAGCTGAACAACCATCACAAGCAGAAGGGAGGAGGATACACCAAGCCAATTGACGGCTCCTTTCGGAAAAATTGTACCACCGATGAAACCATCGTTTGCTGGCAGCTGGAAGTTTGTTGGGGCCCCTTCAGCTGTGGCTCTCAACAATTGGGTCAGTATCTTTTGACTTGTTTATCTACTTCTATACTGTAATGCTGTAATAATGTCATTATTAGTAATATTGCAGTATTGAAATAGATGATCAGATGTATAGAGAAACTGAGTTAAAAATTAGTTTCCTCAGAATATAATATCAATAGAAAGTGACAGGACTAATGAAGAAGTGAAAATTAGTTCAGCTAATTTCCTTGGTATATAGTTTTGCACAAAATAGTACAAAAAGCAGTAGGTCAAGGTGGAAAATGAGTATATTACAAAAATATAAAAATATAAAATATAAAATATAAAAATGTTTGCAATGCCTTTAGAGGATGGATTAGCTGTTTCTTTAAATCTATCCATAGTCCACATTACCTCTTTCAAATCTAAGTCATATAAATACTGATAATATAGATGTCCAGGCTCTCTTTGATTAATGTTAATTTTTTGCTATATGAAAGCTTGGGCAAAATGCCAGTGGCAACTTGTGTAGTGAAGAACTAACATTACCTCAAGAGAGTTTGACCTTTGTTCTCAGCTACTGGGAGGTGATCCTTAGGTCCTCAGAATATCATGCTCGATAGGAGTAAAAATCCTTTGTTTGCCTGAGCCTTTGGCTACCTAACAGGGGCTTTGGGTTACAAGGGTATTGGTTTTGTCTTTGGAAGGTAATAGAGAATATACCTTCCAAAGACATCAGTCCAGTCTCTGGGAAGGGTTAAAAAGCTAAAGGTTAGCCACATGGTCAGTATATAACACCACCACCTCTGGATACCAAGAGTGCAGGTGATGATGTCTGACTGACAATATTCTATGTGTACTGTCACACATTGATACCAGGAAAACAAAGCATTCCTGACTTTACCAGCAGAGGACTGTGAGTGTAACAACAGTTGAGGGAGTTCTCTGAGTCTTTATAGTGAATTATTGAAACTAAGGGTGATTTTGGGAATCCCCCAATTACTGTCAGTAATGTGGAATGCTCCAACTTTTTGGTTGGCTAACTCCCAATAGTTGGTTAAAAGTCCTCACACTAAACCATAAATGTCAAGGATGCTTACCTGAGATCCTTTCTTGCTACCTGGTAGGTTAATTATGAGAGTTTTCCCTCTGATTCCACATACAGGCCTGAAAGGAAAGAAAAAGTGGATGAATACTAAATTGCAATGAATGTTTGGTTTAAATATATTCAATAACAAAAGCCAATCAAATTTTCTTTACATATAAACAACTGTTTTAGGAATAAAATCATTATAGTAAGAGATCTTCCAGTTGCTACACAAATTGGGCATTCTGGTTAATGTTTTTATAATAACAATTAGTATGGTGGATTGAAAAAAGGCACTGAATGTGGAATCAGAATACAGAAGCTACTTTGAAGCAATTTGAAAATTAGCATTTTCCCCCTAATATATGTTTTTTCATATCTCATACAGTTGTAAGATTTCAATCAGTGAATAAAGGTTATCAAGTGTAGTAATATTTATGTTCAAAAATCTAACACATAAAGCACTGAACAACTGAGTGAGATTTAGATTTGTGCTCCTGCTCAAGAAGTATAAAAGCTTTAAAGTAAAATAAGATTTTTCATAAATGAATGGCATTAGGGAAAGGGCTAGAGAGCTCAGTTTCTAACAGGCTCATTGGTGGATACAGATAACTGAGAGATCATTATCAATTTCCAGTCTACATTTTAACCAATAGATTAGATAAGAAAGATAAAAAGGTGGAAAAGCCCTGCAAGTCTATTGTCAAAGTTGAAGGTTTGGATTTTTGTGTGGCAGTTAGAATCATGTTCTTTGTTACTTTGATCTTGTAACATTATTTCTTTTTCATCTTTTGAAAACAAATTATGTTAATTAAAAAATTTTACAACTAATATTTTTTTAGTCATATAAGAGAAGAGTTGTTCACATTTATTTAAAACTTTTCTTATATCTGAAAATGACTACTGAATCACCTTTAGACATCTTACAGAAATTCATGATTTCATTAAAAAATTTAAGGCTTATTTTCTATCCTTTAATTTTAGTTATATTTCTTTAAAATATGCTTTTGTTCTAGCAGTCAAAATTAGATAATGAATTTTAGTTATTCTCAAAATGGCACCGGGTAATTATATAGTTGTTAATATGTTCCTATTTCTTAGGAATTTTGCCTGTCTTTCCTAACCAAAGTGCTGTATTATAGCCTTTTATAATTTTGATAGCTAATTCATTATAATATCAGTAATGTGATTGGAAGGCCAACAACTTCTGGCAATTTATTGGATAAATCTAAAATTTCAGCAAAGAACTTTAGTATGCCCTCATAGAATACAATGTTCTGAAGACTTTTAGCACTTTGCCTCCTCTAAGAATTAAAAACATTCCCATAATAGGGCTGGGGATGTAGCAGAGTGGTAGAACCCAGGGTCTCATGCATTTGTCTAGAATGAACCCCAGCATTGGGAAAAGAAAAAAACCACACACACACACACACACACACACACACACTCATTCTCATAACAATTCTGGCATGTTATGCTCTTACCATTTCTGTAGAAGAGAGAAAAATATAATTTTTTAAAATAAAACATGATAAAATAATCTGACATGCAAAGAATTTGACTGACCCATGGCCCTGTGAACTTTGTAATTTTACATATTAAGTTCATTCTATATTGTGTTTCTGTAGTTTCTTTTTCAAAGTATAATGTCCATGATTTTATCTTGACAATGATGTTCTTTCTATATGTTTTTTTTTTCATTCTTTTGGCTAAGCTATGTTTTTTAAAAAATTTTTTTCTATATGTATTTTAAATTTATTGGATATTATGGAAGTTGAATTTTATTTTCCAAGAAAATCATAACATCATACCACAATGTTAATAAAAAATGAAACTACAGTTAATTTTTTTTCAACTGTTTAATTTGCAAGCTCAGACTTGTAATATTTCCAAAAATACTTCATCTTCTCTAGATTGGCACCCAAAGAGCAGGGCTAATATAACCAATGGCTATATTTTGACTACTATTTCTTTGTGTTATTTATGTGTGTGTGTGTGTGTGTGTGAGAGAGAGAGAGATAATGACAGGTTTTGCTACACAGCAGGAGAAATTATTTCTGTTTTTTCAATTTCTTTGGCCTTTTATTTTGCCAAAATCAAATTTGTCATTTTTTATTCTCTGCGAATTCCCTGATCTCTTTAAGTGTTTACAAATTAATTATGAAATGTGCTTTTCATTTCTGGGATGCTCAGAGTCTATGAAAGACAAAAGTCCATCATCTGTATATAACGTTTCGTGGTTAATAAAGTATTTTTACATGAACTATCATATTTAATAATATAAAATAAAAGCACTAGAGTCTTAAAAATAGTCCAGTATTTACTAAGAATTATGTGATAAACACTTAAGGAATTTATAAATGTAATACAGAACATTAAAATACATAAACAAATAGCTACAACACAAGATAGTAAGTGATGATAGAAACTGGTATAAAGTTCAATGAGTTCAAAAATAATAGCAGTACATTTATAGCATGAGATAAGACTTTAGAGAAAAGGGAGCATTTGAGCAGCTTTATAAAGGAAAGTTACTCCAACAGGTAAGGAATGATAGGGGGAAGGGCAAGAAAAAGAAAGTAGCTATGTGTGGGGAAAAAATTAAAAAGTACAAAGGAAAAAAAGCACCAAGTGCATTTTGAGTATCACTCTTTCAATTGGCAAGAGTGCATTATACTTATGGAGGAGTAATGTGAAACAGGAAGTAAAAGAGAAAACACTTGTAGTCTGGTAGATTAGTAATGTTTCAATGTGTAGTCGCTGAATCACCATAATATACATAACTTGGGAATTCAGAAATGAAAAATCTCTCACACTGTCGTAGCCTACCTCTTCCTCTCTGTTACTGATCTATCCGGTAAGAAGCTATGGCTTCTTAAGTAGGCTGTATTTTAACAATCTGTCTGGTTGATTCTGATCCATGTTAAAGTTTGAAAACTACTGTGATAGACTGCTTGAATTTTGATACTAGTTACTATCAGTGCGATCCTGGATTAATCACTGAACTTCTCTACTCCTTAGTTTTTAAAATCTAAATTATTGAAAGGAGTAACACAATCTCTTAAATATAATGTACGCAGTAGGTAGTATATAACTGGCCTCTTCTCTCAAAAAGTACACTGGGATTAGACAGGGGAAGACAAATTCGCTGTAAGAAGCTAGAATATATTCTTAAGGCACTGGGACCATTTATGGATTCTGCTCAATATTATTAAGAACTATTTCAGGATTAATAGTCTAAGATGAACTGAATGGGGGAAACACATGATGTAAAGGAAAGAAAATCTAATAATGCAAAACATAATATAAGTTGAATGAATTTTGGTTCATGTTCTCTGAGATATCTATTTCAGCATGTTATGCTCTTACCATTAAACAATGCTTTGTTCTTTTCCCCCTTCTGTTTTTTAAATTTTCCCTTCCTTTTTCACAGCAGGTGAGATGTGGAGGAACTTTTCTTTTAGTCAGTAATATTATGGCAATTCAACTAGGACAACATGTAAATAATGTAACACATAACATTTATTTGTTACTGACTGCTATGTACTTACATAATATTTTCATATTATTCTCATAGTAGCCCCATGAAGTAGGTATTGATTCCAACTTTATAAATGAGGAAACAGTATGAATTTGACCATGGTAACAGTTAAATGTACAACTGGGATAAGAACTTTTCCAAAATATGATGTAATAATATTACTGTCTTTCAGGAAATCAGTTTCTCTTGAAATCAGTGTATCTTTCTCCTTCCCTCACTCCCTTTCTCATTTCTCTCTCTTGTTCTTTCTATGTTTTTAAAAAAATCTTTAAACTTTACTCCTTTAAGGTAGACTGAATTAAAAATGAAAAAGAGTTGAATTGTAAATTTAACAGTAGACTGGTTATATGAAGAAATAATCCAGTATATGACTTCAGATGCAACCAGAGCTGGATAAATAGATTTTGAAACCAAAAAATTTGGGCTTAAATTTTTAGTGAAATATTTAGAGAAAGATAAATAAAATAAAACTACCCACCAAGTCCCATCTCAATAAAGTCATCTCTCATGTGCATTATCTTCTAAATTTTTCACGTGTAAATATAAATAACCATCATCTTGGATAGAGATGTTACTTGCCTTTTAGTTCTAGTTTTTAGATAATTTTTTCTATTTCAGATTTTTCTGATATAGAAGACTAAAAATGGCACTTTTGTCAGAATTGTAGTTAGGATAGGATACACCTTAGTCAATGAAAAACTGAAGCACATTTGCCAACATTTATACTTGCAAACTTCAGATATTAAAAAGAAAATAGAAGTAAGATATAAATTTTTCTTTTTTAGATATCTTCATTTACTATTTTATTTCTTATTTTTATTTTTTTAAAGATACATATTTTTATGTATTTCCTTTGAAAGGGTTTTCAGATTCTTTAAACATCAAATTATAGGAGGCATGAACACCTAATATATTCAATATTAAATGTCCATGTAAAATAAATTTTTAAAAGCAAAATAAAGAATATTTTAAAAGCAAAATAAAGAATATATTAAAATCAGTCAACTAGGCTAGTGCAAAAGCCTGAGTGATAGTTTTAATTGTCAGTAATTTTATTATAAATTCATCTAGTTCATTCAATAAATAGTTATTGAGTACTTTCCATGGGGGTTAGGAAGTGTTAAGTAATGGGGCTACAAGAATATAATAGTCTTGCCCCGGAGGAATTTACAGATATACAGAAAAGTATCAATAAGTGTTAATATGCTTAAATAAATACTACAGGCATATTACTGCAAAAATACTAAGGGAAAAATGGGAAAGGCATTTTAGCTATATGTGAGGGAGGGTTGGGTGGCTAGGGAAAACTTCTAAGAAGAAAGGAATATATAAGCTAAACCTTGTAGGTGTTACAGAGATGGAAAATAAGAAGTACACTTTCATGCTGAGAAAATGGCATGTACCAAGGATCCAGAAGCTAGCAAGAGAATAACCTTATGTTTGTGGTAACAATAAATATGGGTGGAAGATACTGTTAAAAAAAAAAAGGCAAATTAAATGTTGAGAGCCAGGGTCAGAATGATGCCAGGCATTTGCCAG